ATATAAAAATGTGATAGAATCACATTATTTTTTAAAATAAAGAATTAGAAAAAGTGTACTGAATACTAATCATATTTTTATGTTTCAAGTTCTTTCTGATCTATTGGATTAAATATGGTACTCCTAAGGGAGAGAATAAATTGTATACATAGTGTTCATTTGATTAATCTTTGTAAAGCTGTATTGAAAATTTTGAAAGGCCAGTGACTTTATTTACTAGGAAAGAAATCCTTTTTGCAAGCCACNTCTTTCTATTTCATAAAATACATAGAAAATGTTTGATCAAGATGGCTATCAAAATCAATGATATTAGTTATAAATAATTTTTCATTATTACTTCTAGAGACCAAGCACCAGAGTTCAATATACACATACACACATTTAAAAAGGATTATAAGGCATTTAAAAATATTATTGACTTTATAAATTAGTTGTAATTTTAAAAATACATTACAATGCATAATTAAAAGTCAAACCATGAGAAAGTGCATATTGATTTACAGTGTCTTATAACATAAATGGATTATTAATTAGATTAGCTTTATATCATTTTAATCTCTTGAATGTTTTCAATAGTCTACTGTACAAAGATGTGTTCCTTATTTATTGCTGAGTGTATTTTAGAATGGTCCCCAAAGTACATATTTACTTTTTTACTTGAATTTAGAAATGAAGTCAAACTTTTTCTGACAAAAAGCAACTCATTTCTCTGGTTTGACAATGAAAGCTAGCTGTTCTAATGTTCATTTCACAATTGAAATGAGCTAAATCTGCACTTTCAAGGTTTCAAAATATCTAAGTGTATGTATGTATGTGCATGTGTGTGTACACATATATAAAAATGTGATAGAATCACATTATTTTTTAAAATAAAGAATTAGAAAAAGTGTACTGNACAATAAATAACTCTATTATATAGTATGTTAGAAAATTATAAGTGCTATGGAAGAAAGAAAAAGCAGAAAAACTGAAAAGGCATTCAGAGAACTGAATAACACTGCTCTTGTAAAACTCCTTACATTAAAATCTATTAAATGAATAAAGTTTCACAGCACTTACCTAAGAATGAAAAAAAGATGTAGGACTAGAATCCTATCTCATTCTAATGAGAATCAATATTCATACATGGATAACTAAGCCAGCTGGAAAAAAATCTGCCCCATTCTACTCATAAAGAAATACATCTCCAAAATTATTCTTTACTTGTTACATTTAATACTTATTTAACAAAATTAGTAATACATTTTGTTGTTTGGATAACTCAACTCAGAATAAATCTTTAAACATTTAAAAACTTATGGTCACAAGAAGTAAACTTTTCAAAATATCAAGTTACATGCATATTTTGTGGTAGCTAGGGTGATAGATAAAAGACTTAGAGGCATAAAAATATATTATATTGGCATAAAATTGGAGTTCAAATGGGAAAAGGATCAAGGTAAAATCATAATATTTAAAGCAGAGCATGTTTATTAACTTTTTAGATGACGGATGGCAAGTATGACACCACCATGCCCCCTAGATGCAATGGGGAACATTAAAATGAGTAATGTAGCTGTTATAATTTCAAAAGGCAATATACATAATGTGCTTGAAATTACATCCTTTGCAACTACTTAAATTTATGATAACAAAGTTTAGATGTTAATTTTTTTTAATTGTGAGAAAATTTCAATTTAGATGTCAATTTTTTTTAATTGTGAGGAATTTTTAAAAATTATTTTAGAGAGTCTATGAGAAAAAACCTCAGAGTATACAATGATGCTGAAGGCACACACACTGCCTGTCTTCTAGAAATT